GTAGTTTAAGAAGATATTTCTCTTGTATTTTAAATCTGAGAAAACAATTGCATTACTAGGTCTAGAAATCTAATTTGTTTAGAGGGTATCAGGTGTGTTGATATGTCCTAGCATTAAATTCTTACAAGATTGAGAGACAGGGATAATATTTTATTTTCCTAGCTTGAAAATAAAAACTATCTATACCTTACAGCATCACAAATGACATTTTTTTCTGAGAATTAAAAAAATTTCATATGGTTTTTAAGTAGTACTACAAAAAATTTTTAAAAATAACAGTAACAGCTCAGAATGCAGTGACACCTAATGGCAAAGATATCTTTATAGGCCGTAAATGTATTTTCTAATAAACGTGATACTGTAGTAATACTTTCTATGTATTGCTACTCACTAATATGCTGTCTAAAATCTAAACTATCATGATAATCCAGTAGAAATGTGAATATCTTACTTTTTAAAAATAAAGTAATATACATAAGTGAAGAAAAAAAAACCTTCTAGTTTAAAACATGTGGTTTTAAAATTGCAATGGCCCATCAACGTAATATTATCATATGATAAAATTAGCCTGAGCTATCAGAATAGAATAAAATGTGTCTTCCATTTATCCTAATAATTTCAACTGTTTTTTTATTTTTGAATAAATCAAATGATAATCACCTTGATTTTTATTCATATTTGGCTTAAAACTTATAACATATTTAGTGGATGTACATTTCACCTGGTGCAGAAAGCAAAGGTCCTTAGTGTAATGGCTTATCAGTCATGTCAAAGTTGATATCTTTCATTAATAACAACATTGTCTAACTTAATACACACTTGAATTGCTCTTCAAATAACTGTATTAATGATAGAGAAAAATAATAGTAAAGCCAATTCCCTTAGTACTTTCTAGAAGTTTACACGGATACCAAGAACTTCAAGAACAAACAACAACTATGAAGAAGAAGGATAAAATAGTATTGCGATATCTTACACAATGCAAAAAGCCCTTGAGGAGTCCTGGGGGTTATCATTAACCAATGCAAATAATGTAGCCAACTGAAAAAAAATTGGTAGAACAGCACATCTTCTAGGAATACTTTTACATTCTGTAATTGACAAAATAATCTTTACTGCAAAAGTAAGAATAACTGGTATTTTACATTTACAATCTATTATTGTTTTTAATGTGTTGACACATTTTATTTACCCGATTTTATACTTTAATTTGAACATTATCATAATGAAAGTATTCTATGGATTGACTTAGGTTTCTCAAATACCATATCACAGTTGATTATGATTTCAGAGGATAAAGTATCATTTGTTTACAAGAAAAACAAGAATAAATGTATCTTTCCTTCTCCATGTAGACATAATTATTTTACTATGACTGATCTCAACAAAAATATGCTACTGATTTGTGTAATATGTGAATAAGTACACTATTTGAGTGTTCCCTTGTGGAGATATATAACTGAGGATAGCTAATTTACAATCAGTTCTGTGAGCACAGGAACCAGATAAAGAAAGGAGCATATATTAAACTGTTAAAACATGAGATCCTCCATAGTTGATATGAAGCAAAACACAAACTGTGCAGTTGACTGGAAATGCCACCTAATCCCTGCTTAATTAAAGCAGTGCTCTAAACGCCTGTTGTGTTTAGGGAGTAAACAGTGTGGGACGACTGATGTATGAAGAAAATAGCAGTCAGCGTGGCTAATCTCAAAGACTTTGGAGCTTTCTAGCTACATAAATCAGAGCGACTTCTGAATAGCCTCATAAAACAGAGTATCATTGCCATTCCACTCACGACTTTTTGGTTCTTCCTACAGCATGCAGATCATTAGGAAACTTCTAAGCAATCAAGTAATGTGGGTCTGATGAAATTACTCAATCAATGCATAGGCTCAAAGTAGAAGCATAATTCAAAATTGCATAGTTTTTATATGTCAAAAGACCTTTCTTTTATTGGGGCAAAGAAGATCACAATCCAAGTGATTCATTTTTAAATACTATATATTTGTGTATATGTGTGTGGATATGTTTTAAAGAAATATTTGTAATAATTAAACATTTTTAAAACATGATTTAATTGATACTTGAAATAATTATAAAGTTGCACATTTTTGACTGAAATAAATACATTTTAATTTCAATCATTATGGTTTAACCATTTTGTCCCATCACTGTAGTGAATCAATATGTCTAACAAAACATATTAGAAAAACAAAATATGTAATTTATCTTATTAAACTACCCACATGAGGTAAAAAATGAAAAGAAAGAGAGAAAGGAGATAATTTTCATATATATACAATTTGCTTCAATATATAAAAAATCTCTTATCTTTTTGTCTTTCCACTTTGAACTACATATTGCAGCTCCTTTCTGCTTGAACACATCACATGAGGTTGAGAAAACCTTTCATTTCTGGATATCTCCTTCTATCTTTGGAGGTGAAATACTCCCTTTCCCCCCAGTTTCATCACTTTCATTCCTTTAGTCCTGAACTAATACATTTCCCCATAAGCATATTTCTTACATTAAATATTTAAATGAAAGCAATCACTTCCTAAAGAAAATTAATTTTTTTCCTATTCAACCAAGTAAGTAAACTAATCCAATTTATGTTAACTGGTGCTTTACAATTTTAATATGGACATTCAGTTTTGAATTTATTATACTTTTGCTGACAGTGGGGATGGAGGCACTGAATTACACGCATACTACCCATGATCATAATCTTTTTTAGTTTAGGAGTTAATGTTTTTCAATATATTACAAAAGATAGTTTGCTAGCTTCGTGACAATATTAGGTAGCCTATAAAGCAGCTAATTCTCTCATCAAATATACTAATTGCATTCAAGTCAAATTAATTGTGTCAAAAGTAACTGTATCTGCTGTACACAGTTAATATATACAACCAACCTTCTAAAGAAATCTGTAATTTGTACTCACTTTTTAAAAATGGTTGTTATAAATAAGTAAGCCAAGTCGCTCTGACAAAAACAGTATGCAAATAAAAATTTAAAAAAAAACAGTTTTGTTCTATTTTGAAGCACATGTCCAGACTGCATTGCAAAATAGTATTTAACCAGTAAGGGATAGCAGAAGCTGTAGGTATTTGTAAATAATGTATTTATCGTGCAGACCACAGAATATGCAATAAAATAAGCCTTTTTCCACAAGCTTTTCCTTCTGAGAGATGAGGAGCCTACATCAGAAACCCCTAATCATAAAATGAATATAAAGGTATTATGATTGTATATCTGCATTCCTACTCCAATCATTTACAACTGGACATAAATGTATGCTATTTCTTTAAAAGGAGCATAGTTCATTTCTGAACTCTATTAGAACATTGCTGAACCACTCAATGTGACCATAATTTCTCTCTGAAAAGTTCTGAATCTGCAGGCACTGGTAGCCCCCAGGCAAAACGGGATCCAGCAGGCAAGCTATTAGTGCTTGATTTACTTAATGCACAAGTGCTAGGTTTTCTGTATCCTGACCTCATTACCCCTTGCACAGAGACAGTTCTACTGATATAAATGATAGAGAATGGCAGACATGTTTACAAAGACGGCCTCTGAGACCAAGAAAGGAAGCCCCCTGGAGCTGAGGGGCTGGCCACTGTGGGCGCACACGTCAGGCAGAAATCCGTCGCTTGGGCGGGCACAACTGCCACCTGCAGCAGGTTCCCCTACCAGGAATACATGTGTGTATATGTGTGTGTTGCGCGGTGGTGAAGCCGGGGTACAGAAAGGGGAGAAGCTGTGACCCATCTGTCGCCTCAATTTGCAGAACACCAAGCCATGCTACAGATAAAAGTCCTGTGCCCAGAAAAATTCCCCCAAAGGGACCTCTCTGCAGCCCAGCAAAGAAACCTTGCTGGCGAATTTCCGAAAAAGAAATCGTCGCATTAACGCAGAAAAGGCTGCAAGAGTGTGTCTCTGCTCAGCTCTCACGGATTAGCAAGTGAGAAGAGTTGAAGCCTAAAGCTGAGAGCGCTGTGCATGATAATGACGCGCAGCCCCCCGCCCGCCCGCCAGCCAGTTCGCCGCGGCCAGTCCCGGCCCGCCTGGTTGCCAATAGGTGGGGCCACGAGCATCTCGGAGCCGGCTCGGCAGTCTTTCTCAGAGCCGGGCCCGCTGTAGTCCCGTCGCCTTCGCTGTCTGCCTTGCGCTGCTACTCGGAGTTGACGGCGAGGCGACGCTAAGCAAGGCGGATATCTACGAGGCAGCCCCCGGGAGCGGTCTGCGCGCTTTAGCTTCCCCGCCTTTCCCAAGCTCCCTGGGCCAGTTTCGCCGCCGCGCCAGGCCCGGAGAGCGTGTCCGAGGAGGCGAGGCACGCGACTCCCAGTCCTTGGCGACACTGCCGCCAGCCCCTCCCGCCACCGTCTCAGAGACTCCACGCGAGGACCATAAAGCCAAGACGACGTGAGAGGAAAGGGAGGCTGGGGGCACATCCGGCACCCCCGTCACCATCTCACTACGCTGCGGCGAACTCAGCCCGCTCACGTTGCAAAACCACCTGTTTGATCCGAAGGGAGCGCCCCTTACCCACCCCCCCAACCCAGCCCAATTCGTTTCATCTCACAGGTGACATCTCTGCTACCCAAAGATAATTGTTACCATGGAGCAAATGTACATCCGGGAAAAAAAATATGGAAGATAAGAGTCAATTAAACTCCCTTTCCTCACACACTTAGAATCCCTCTGCACTTCCCAGCACACACACACACACACACAAACACACACAGGTCAACTCGATACCCCCACGCATCCAGCCACATTCCACGATTCACCGCGAAACAACAGCCCAAGTCGAGGTTCGAGCATCCACATCCTTCCAAAAAACTGAGCAAGTATGAGGGAAGAGTAGCGGGAAGGGGCAATGAACTGAAGCCACCTCCAAGACACACAGAGGGCGGAGAGGGGGAAAGCAAAGGGGAAACCTTCGCGAACGGAAACGGTAAAAGTAACCACGAGCTGCACCAACCCTTTCTTACCGATGTGAATGATCGAATCCGCATTTGCCGAGTCCCAGGTTCGAGACCACCAGACGGACAAAACCAAGAGCAAGGGGAAAACTTCCATCTCCTCCTATGCCGATTCTCTGGGAGGATGATTTTCTTCCAATTTTTTTTTTTAAACAGTCCAAAGAGTTTGAGGTCACAGTAGAGTTTAGCGCAGCTTTTTCTTTTTTTTTTTCTAAATTTCTATTGCCAGAGCAAAGCCTTTTATCGTCGCCGAGAGAGGCAGAGGGAATGACAGAAAGAGCCCAGCCTGAGGAAACCTCCTTCGCCAAGCCGTGTCACTTGGAGGGGAATTTTGGCATCGCCAGAGTTGTTTGCAGTTTGGCTTTTGAAAAATATATCCAGCCTCGACTGCTCTTGGGCAGGGGGGAGAGGCTGGAGCTCAGATTTTCCCCATCGCTGCGCGGGGGCCGCGGGTCTCCGGTCCCAGCTCCGCCGTAACTTCCAACACTCCCCTCACGCCGGATGTGCCCCCTTCTCTACAACCCCCCGACCAAAAAGGACCCCCGCCCCCGCCCCAACAGCCCGCAGAGAATCACTCGTCTTCGCTGCCAAAATCTAAGTGGAAAGGAAAGATTAGGAGATTCCAAGCGGAGCAGCCAGATTCCACCAGGGAGGGGGGGAAAAGCCCTCTCCAAGAGGGGTAGAAAAAGTGAACTTCAAGGTAATGCAGATAGTAATGCAGAAAAAATTCCCTTTCTGCGCGAGGCGCGGAACGGAGCTCGGCTCGGCGTGGCGGGCCCGGGGAGCCGGTTTGCTGGGGCGCGGTGGCGGGGGAGTTACGCCGGGCGCGAGCAGCGGGGCCGGGCCAGAGAAGGGAAGCCGCCGCGGGCTGCAGGATGCTTTTGGAGCGGCTCGCCTAGCGGGATGCAGGAAGCGAGGAGCGAGCCTGGCAGCTTCAGCACCAGCCCCACGTTGCCTAGAAATGGATCACCTAGGAGAAGGAGCGAGCCCGCGAGAGAGCGGTGCTGTCAGGCGGAGAGAGGGGGAAACCGAGAGAGGAAGAGCTTCTCTCTAATAACCACCTCCTCCCCCTATCTGCAATACAAGGAAGAAACAAAATAGTGTTCTCATTTCCCATGGAATCTTCAACCGGGACTGAGAAAAGGCAGGACTGTAAGAGAAAAGACATTGAAGCTTTTTTTTTTTTTTCTTTTACGAGGTTAAATGCAACCTAAAAAAGCCACCCCACTTATTTAACCTTGCTATTCTCTAACAGGTATCAGACTTTTTCTAGTCTTTGCCTGGAATTAGTCACATTGGCTGAAAACAAATTAGGGACACCTGGTCACTTAGGGAGATAGAGACCTAGAAAGCTTTTAATGAGATTTCAATTATAAAGTTATAAAAAGGAGAGAACGTGCTAATTACCTTTTATACAATGATTTTGTTTTTCTGTCTCCAGTGTATTTTTTTAGGCAATCGGGATAGAGAAAGGTTCCTGAAATCGTTTCTATTGACAGAAATTCTTCTTTATCAGGATAGAGAAGATCTTGGAATTTTAAATAATAATAATCATAAATAAAACAAAAATGTTTCAGTGAAACGTTTGGTCAAAATATTTCATTGAATAGCTTAATAACCTATGCAGATAAATTCAAAATAAGGAAGTTGGTTAATCTCTCTCCCATGGAAAAAGCTGAGGAAGTCCTGAATGACAGCCTCCCAGTCTCCAGAGAAAGGATTTTCTGCAAGCTTATTCCTTAAGATAAAATCCTGATCATTGTGCCTTCTTTTCTTATAATGATTGACTTATATCAATCTGACCTCATTGCAAACTGGAGATTTGTTAACACAATCAAGTGACTAGTTGAAGTCAGGTATTAATGTCATAATATTGTTTCAATTATAATTGATATTCTTTGGGAATGTTGGATGTGTGGATGTCAGACTCATCACATAACCTTTCAGAGCCTTGCCTCCAAGTTTGGCAAACCTCTTTTCTTCTAATTCCCTCACTTGAGCCCTTCTCTCTAGCCTGCTGAATTGAGTTACTATTTTTCCAGACACAATTGTACATTTTCACTTCTGGCTGTTTTCATTCATCTTGTACATATTTTCCTGAACATTCCAGAAAATGCTTTGCTGCCATATTTTTACTTATGTCAATATTCCTGCTTGGAAAGCACATATTTGTCCTCCCAGTCACTCTCCTTCACCATCTCAAGGGCTAATTCAAATTCCTTTTGCCCATGAAGTGGTGTCCATTCCTTTATTATGGAATAACTCCATCTATCTTCTATGCTCCCATAACACACTGTACCTTGTATGAGAGTTAGACAGGATGACTTCTAAATTAGATTATAAATTCCTTGAGAGTAAACACCAAAGCTTATTCACATTTTATTCAACACAGCATTTTACAGAGAACCCCTTTGTTGACTTGAATTTCATCACTTCCTCCTGAATCTGGAACAAACCAGTGCTTCCAAGACACATTCACTGATTAATTACTGTCAATTTTTATCATTCTTGTATCTCATTTCCATTAGTAGACATTGACTCAAAATTGATTATATTAATGTTGGTGTTAATGTCATTTTACTTTATAAAGGGTTCTGATGCAATTCCATAGATTACACTTTGCTGATACAGATAATGAATTGAAAGAAGTGATGCACACCCCCATAGCTTGCTTCAAATGTTATTTACAGTGATATCCTAAAAATTAATAGGTCACAATGTATTCTATCAAAAAAATTATGATATAACCATTTAACATGAAAAGAACACCACCATGATATCTTAAAATATAAGAACTGGGAAGAACTTCAGAGCATTAACTAGTCCAGTCCTGATTTAATGAATGCCTGTCCTGGAGACAGTCAAATATTGTATAGTCATATTCATACTGTTTCCTCTCTTGGAAATTTGTTTTAATGTACTATGAGCAAAGCATTTTCATTATTCCAAAATCCTACAATTTAGTAGTTTTCAAATGTAGATTCCCTTTGAAATAACCTGGGAAGCTTTTTCAAATGATCACTTAAGGCAAATTTAATCAGGATTTCTGGAGTTCAGGGCACAGCCTGTAATATATTCTAAAGCCTCTATAGTGGCTCTGCTATGTAGCCATCCTTAAGAATCACTGTTCTAATACTCAGACATTTAAATGAGTCTGGGTGACACATCACAAAATGGCTTTGAGGTATAATGACCACTCCTGCCAATCAGAAGATATAGTGGAACCACGAGTTTTAGCTTTCCAAAAGTTACACAAGAAAGTTAGTATAAATTTAACTTTAACCTTAACTGTTGGATTTTTCAAGAATAACAGTCCTTTTACTATTGGAATAATTTCTACATTCAATGACTCCTACTTAATAAACATACATTATATTTTCTCCTATTTTACAAAATTTTCTGTCATTATGTATGTTTAGTTAGCTGGATACAAATATTTATCATGTGTGAGTTAGATATTAAATTCCAGAAGAAAAAATATGAATTCACTGGTTGTGCATATTCAATGTTTTAATGACAGCTATCTGTTGGTTTCATTAAGATTGCTTAACTCTAATTCAAGCCTTATTATATGGAAATGGTGATTGTATCTGGCCCGCTGTGCTTAAATTCAAACCTTGTGAAATTCTGGCATATATGGTGGGAAAATAGCAGTCATTAACTGAAGTTCCATAACAAATGACTAACTGTTTAAAAGTTAATCAGTTAACTTTTAAACAGTTAATCATTATAACAAATAATTTGTTTGGTGGATTTTTTTCTTCCAAGGTGGAGACTGTTACTTCATTCAGGCATTGGTTGTGATATGAACGTCAATTATTACTGCCTCAAGATTTAAATAAATACATCTTTTTTTTTTTTTTTTTTTGAAAAACAGACTTTGGAGAAACACTGATTTGCATTGGTGAGGGAAATACAAATGCTGACTCCTTCAATCTTGTACAATTGTGGAAAGAAAGCAAGGTAATAGAATAGAAATTCTTGGAACATATAATTCTTTCATTTTCACTGTTAAAATGCTAAGAATACCAATGCTTAAATTTTAAAAATCAGCTACTTATTGTTATAATAGCAGTAAGTCAACTTACATTGGTCAATTTTAAGAAACTGTTAAATAATATTTTAATGACTCATGAATTTTGTTTTAGTATAAAAATCTATAAATTTACGAGTCAACTTATTTGAAACTTAAAGAGTTGGTTTTTAAGAGAATATAATCAAAATGCGACATAATAAATTTTGATCATTATTTCTAATTTTTTATGATTATATTATTATTATTATAAATATGGCTAGTCACACAAAAGATTCCAAGTACATTTCAACCTTAATATGAGCATGAAAGGAAAACTGTAAAAGGGCAAAGACTGACCATCTGTAGATACAAGTAGTTATAGTAAGTGGCTGTAAAATTGTAATTGAGATATTTATTTGCAGATATGAAAAACATAAATTCCTTTTGGTTGAAGGACTGAAAGAACAACTTTTGTACTTGTCACATTAAGAAGTTCAGAGCTCATTGAGGCTTCAGGGGCTTTCTCATTCAGAATCTTGGTTTTCTGGACAACAATAGGAAAATCGAGTTCTATAAGTTGTACTAATATTTGTTGGAAGCCTTAAACTTAGAAAGCACATTTTTTTAACTTTTATATAAGCTTTGAAAAAATACTTAAATTACATATTCCTATATGACATATTTACACTAGGCATATCTTGACCTCATTTTTTTCAGGTCAACTTCATACTGACTTACCACTTACCACTCTGTCAAACTATTTTGTCTGTGACACTAGTGGAAATCTTATCCTCAGTGATAGCTTATATCTCCCTCCCTTCTCTCTCCCTGCCTCCCTTTCCTTCCTTTCCCTTCCGTCTCCTCCCCTTCCCTTCCCTTGCCCCCAACTTTCCTTCCTTCTAAAATAAACTTATAATCACATTCTTCTTTACAAGGCTTTCTGTGAATCTGTGAAGCTGTGAATCTATAGCCCCTTTCAGGTCAACGTCTTATTATCTTCTAACTCAATGAGATATAAATTCTAACCAAATTTTGCAATTTGAATGATTAATAAATGTAAGTGCTTTACCAAACTTATCTATTATTAAGGTTGGTTCAAGTGAAAAACTTCTACTTTTAAAGTTTTCTTATGGTCTATACGTTAGCAAATGATACTGAACTTTTAGAAACAGGGATTCATGTACATTAACAATTCTTTTAGTTGCCCTATCTTTTCTGTCCAAATGTTGATGTGGCATTTCAAGAGAAATGTTA